CTTCATAAACACTGCAACTCCACCTCCTTGATTCTGTTCTCGCTTTCTCCTAAATGGACTTATACCTTCTATACTGGCTTCGAAGTCGCCAATATTAGGCGATAACCAAGTTACGGTGCGGATTATAATCTTCGAAGCAAGGTAGGAACAGAGACCGTTGTTTCCAAGTCCTTCCTATAAGTACCCTCACAAAGCTGTGAAAACACCAGTAGATACTTCTAATAACATGGAGTGTTTAAGTAGTAGCGGACTGTAGTGGGTCGTCTGCAATGGTGAAAGTTGTTATACGACGGCAACTTCCGGTGGAGCAAACCCAGACATGCTTTTTCACACAGCAGTTTCTGTGGATATTATACAGGCAAGGATTTTTAGAAAGCCTTGTCTATCAACAGTACTGGTGACTTCAGCATCGAGCAGGACTCTCGTTTGCTGTTGTCGCGGCGTCCTAGGCTTGCTTACACAACAGCAAACGTTCCCGCTGATATTGTCTTTAGTTGTGTACTAAGTAATCAGTACCTCGGTTAGAAATTATTGGCATCCGAAGTTAAAAGCCATTAACTTGGCAATGTCATATGTGAGGGACGTAGGGGTCTACACGCCGCTGTCCCATTCAATCCTAGCCTTACTGATAACCACTGCCATTGTTGGACATCATGACTATACTCCTCCACCAATATGCCAGGTGTTAGTTCCACTACGTATTTCTCGACCTGAAAGCGCAGTTCGACTCCGCTCATCGAGAAGTCCTATGCCAATGTCTCTCACTGAAAGCCGTGACGGATAAGAACATCACCTTATTGAAAGCTCTCTCCTAGAACAATCGTGGAGGTATTAGAGAACATGGTGATATGTCCAGGGAGCTATCCTCATCGACTGGTGTCCGCCAGGCGTCCCCACTGTCTCCATTCTTATTCAATTTTATCGTAGATATTCTTATGGAGGTCTCCCTCTTGTCACCTGATTACACAGACGTTGACCTAATCGCAGGAGAATTTACACTAGAACTAGAATATGCAGATGACATAGTCCTGTTAGATGAAAACGCTGACAACATGCAGAGTCTTCTGAACACATTGAGTGGCAAGCTGAGAATGTTTGGGGTGCTTTTCTCACCATCCAAATGCAAATTGTTGATCCAGGATTGGTCTTTAACGGTGCCCCACCGTGGCTAACAATAGAGTGTAGTGATTGAGTGTGTCGATCACTTCACTTACCTGGGAAGTAGGATCAACCCTGGTAGCTGGCTCGGTGGCCGATGAAATCTCTGCGTGGATACAAAAGGCCCGACTGGCTTTCGCCAACTTATGCCACCTATGGCGCCGCCGTAATATCCGACTGGCTACTAAGGGTCGCGTGTACTGCACACCAGTTTGCTCTGTTCTACTCTCCACCTGTGAAACATGGTCATTGAACGTGGAAGACATGAGAAGGCTGGCTTCAGGTGTTTCGCCACCGTTGCCTCCGTAGTATAGGCCGTATTCCGTGTGTCACCGCGTAACACAGAAGTTAGGTGTAGAGTTTTACGGAGAAGGGGTTATTCAGTTGATGAGGTTGTGAACCTTCATCGACTGAGATGGTCGGGACACGTGTTACGTATGCCTAGTCGCCGATTGCCTCGTCACACAATGTTGGCTGAAGTAGGTCCAGGTTGGAAGAAGGCCCGTGTTCAGACCGAAGCATGGCACCAACGTATGAAGTCTTTCACTGTTGGTTTGAGCCATATGGGGCGATGCAGACTAGCCGGTTGGGTCCGCGGGACAAGAGGAACCAGTGACTGAAGACTCTGGGCAATATGGCGCAGATGCATGCATGCATTATCCTCATCTTAACGACGCTATACCGAATCTCACCATTTTCTCATCCTTCCTTTCTCTCGTTTCGTACCTCATATTTCTTTTGACTGAATTTTCTTATCCTCATCTTGCATCTCACCACCGTCTTACTTGATGTACTGATCTGAGGTGTGGCAACTCGGATCGTTACGCAGTAATGCCTGGCCTTGATACTGATGACGATACGCCGTGGGCAACCAGGGTTGCCGGTCTGAGCATGTAGGGCGCTTCCCGAGATATTTTTCTCGCTGACCATGGCCAGCCTTGCCCCAATGCTGGATGACCAGTGTGTGTGACAGCAGCAGTGGTCTTTCAAACTCCTTGGCCGAGGTCACCCTCATCGACGGGGGCGCTCCTTGAGGTGGGTTGCTGCCTTTGTAGAGCCAGCATATATCTGCTCCTAAGCTGCCCGGTCCTAGTATGAAGCATACCGTTTCCCATTGCTGGTTGTCGAAAGATTTTCTCTCCTCAAGGAGACTGTCACGACACACAGGTACGTTAAGGCAGTGGAACTCGATCTGTCACCGACATCCCTGTTGTCTTGTACTGTGTATGGGTTTTTGTGGGAAGGGTGCGCCTTCTTTTCCACTGTAACCCGTTATTACCGATGTACAGTAAAGGCAACCGCCAGACCAACTTCAGGGATTGGGGCTGATAATGGTTGGTTGCACGACCGGTCGTCTTTTGGGTAGTCTTGGACTATTCACATATGTGAATGTCCAAGGAACGATGCTGACACTCTTGTTTTCCAGACTCTCACTTGCGGTAGTGGTTTGTGCGGGCGCCGGCACTTCGGTATCCACTGGTGCCTCTTACCACCTATCCGAGTGGACTTCTAGAGAGGAGCGGCCCTGTATGACACTGTGGGCAGAACCACGTGTATGGGTGACGCACCATGAAGGTGTAATATTAGTCTAGCACGTTCTTATCACATTGACAGTGTACCCACTTGTTGCGAATGCTACAATCAAAAGCCGTTTCCCTTTTGGCCACAGAGACCACATGTGAGACAATCGTCAGCCCAACCAGGGGGTTTCGTCTGGGACTTTCTTTTCCCTCTCTGCTCTCTCCTCGTAGTAGCCTTCACAGGCAGGCCAGAGTTTGGACTGGGTGTGCCAGAAAGGCATTTTCTCCGTTGAGCGAGAACAGATGAGCCCTTAGAAACAGGAACTCAACCTTTTTGGAGATTGGTAGTCACGACTGTTCTCCTGAGGTCGGCCCATGATCCTTCGCGGCGGATGCAAACCTCTTGTCTCCGGTCCTAGTTACTGGCAAGGAAGGGGAGGTTAACAGATGAGGCTTTACTTCGGGTGTTACTGGGACTCGACTTAGCTAAAACTCTGTTGTTACTCGTTTCGATAGGTAGGTAGGGGGAAAAGTAAGATAAAAATCCTTGGGTCAAGTTAAACGTAGAAAACTATGACAGCCGAAGTAGGCTGTCAACCCTACCTACGACTGTTGTACGACCTGGAAGAGTGCCGCAAGCTTCCTACAAGTCTAAAATGTATGATCAAGTGAGACAAACGGTGCCACACAAATGCGGCAACCCGAGCTATAGCAGTTGATCGAAACAGTTTAACTTACCACACAGTTGTCCGTTTAGAGAGTGAAGGTACTGACCGATTGACGAATGTACGTTCCGTGTATGTGTGGATATTTCTGAGGAAGGTGGAGACGAGGCAAGACGCGTTAGGATTCAACTGTGTCCTGTTATCCTTGGGATCTGTTTCGGCGATGCGTGACTCAAAGAAGCTAAACGCAATGTACGAAAGTGATACAGTCGCATCTTTCTCGTCGAGTTGAAACTTGTTCTGGACTATACAACGCGTCCCGATCAGGAAAATCGTACTTTGGTAGTAATATATATATCCTGTAAGCTGTCAGTCACTTGGGTGCCAAGGTCTTCTAAGTACGAACGCAACTCTACGAACTTCAGTTTCGCCGATCAAAAAGAGACCCCATTTGTGTTCTGGTCAGGCTGAAGCAAACTGCCTTTCTTTTCGCGATGGGCAGCCGTGTGGCGTCGAGACTCAACGGACAGCTGTCAGAAGCTTGTTGAAGTGAGGATCGCATCAAGTCCTAGTGCTGCAACCCACCGAATCTCAGTTGATTGTTATGCGCGCAATCCCGTCGAATCTACGCAAGTTGAGGACGGTTATAAGATTGGGTTTCTCTGTTCTGTGAATAAGATACGCCAGTATGAATAGCCCTCTCGACTTGTGGTTGTAACGGGAACGCTAGGAGCTGCTCCGGGTCGGTCGCTCTGAAGATCTCCGGTTCCGAACAGCTGGTCCCCATTTACGGTGAAAGGATTTCCCATGTGGCAAAATCTCGATGCCTAACGTCGTCCTTTCTAGGGCTGACCGATCCCTCTGTTTAAGGCAGGGCATCAACTCATGGCGCTGAGTATCTCTCTCCAGTAATAAGATGAAATCCCACTACGAACTATTTTGCACAGTTCTGAAGGGAAGCAGACGGTCTACATCTGTCCCACAGCCTACTTTAATACTGATTTTAAGCCTGGTCCGGAAACATTCAGCATGTTGACCAGACTCAGCATAACTCTTACTCTCCTACCACACTGAATCGTGTCTGCATGAAAGTCTCACTTGTTTTTGAGCACTAACAGGAATATTTTGTACGAGCTACGTAGATGTGATACCATAAGTATCACAAGGATGTAGTTAACTATCGTGGTGATCAGCGTGAATGTATCTTCTGATTAACTGGTTAACCATACGGAAATACTAAGTCAGCGTAGAACCACGCAAACAAGTGCATCGGTTCGAGTTGCCACACCTCATGGTAGCAAAAAAGGAACAATTTGACCGGAAAAGTTAAATCAGTTGTGTGAGAGAACAAATAATTTGAAGATAACGGTTAGCAAAAATAGTCAAGCGTTGGAAGACGGTTAACAGGGAGAACATACCTGTACCACTGAGCTATTTTCGGCCATATCGCTAAGTTCTCAGCTGGTGGTTCGGACCGTCTCTAAGGTCCTGCACAGGCCGTCTGTCTTTCCCCACGGCTCAGGCGAACATTCAAGGATTGATGCCATGTATTTGCCTGGCTATTATGAACCCTCTTCCGACCCAAGCTAGCCTCCTCTAGCGCGTCTGATAGTGGATTAGCATGTGCAACATATATTCAAGCCACATCAGTCCACAACCCATTCAATCGACATGCCTATTACCCTTCGCCTGACCTCAACACTGAATCCACTAAACACAAGCTACACTACGAAGACACCTATGATCAAAACCCTGTAACTGCTTTGTCTTTTACTTTTAACGGCCATGTCTCCCAGAGGTTTTACAGGAGCCTGCAGCGCAGCATACTCGCCCTTTGATTGATAGCCGGACATTTCGTTGGGTGCCACCCAAATGACGCAGGTTGATAGGTCCCAAACCAGCCTTCTGTATTCGAGCTGAGAGTTCGCCAGGAACCAAACGGTTAGGGCGGAAACAATCACCGAACTACGTGGGGTGCTCCGAACTTCAATCCCAATTATCAAACTCAGAGTAGTTGCAGACATATTCTGGAGTATCACTTTATATTTGATAGGCAGAAGACGCATGTCAAATATATCTGTAATTGACCTGAGTTCGCGCAGGAGACCCACCAAGTGCAATCAATTCATGAACACTCATACAATTTGTGCCTCCGAATTGATGTTGACGCATCATTAGCTTTTAAAAAGCTTGTAAGCCATTGGGAATTAGATAACGCGAAACCTTCGACTAGAATTGGGAGTTAACCATTCGTGACAAGTATTGTAGTTGCCTAACATTCAAAAAATCACCGTCAAGCCTTTCAGTCTGCTTGCTTAAGCTAACACTTGTCTACACATGACAGACCACTTCATTAGATGTGGTAGTCTCAATACTGAGTAATGAACACTGATCACGGGAATTTTAATTAAGACTGAACACAGGTCAGATGACACCCTGGGGTCATCACCGTGAGATGTCATTGGGAGACGAAAGGCAATTTAAAAATGGACAAACCAAACTTCTAAAATATATTTATGCGGTTAGTATACAAGCACCCCCAGCTGCCCGTATCTTCTCTTCTGCCTTCCGAGAGAAAAACCTAGCTTTAACGATCACAGGGACCTTTGGGAGGTATCCTTTTCCCAAAACCTTGAAATAACCCTGAAAGTCATATCAGCCAACTGAAGAAAAACACTTACTTTACGTAAACAGTCTATCACCGGCGCTTTGCCATCATTGGATTCTTTATACTTCTCGTATGTGGTTTGTGAAACCAAAGACCATAATTTGTCCAAATTAATGGTTGGACAGTAGTAAGGGTTCCTTTTCAAGTGGTAGTGACGCATTCCAACCTTGCCAATATAACCCGGATGGTATTTATCCATGTTGATGCGATGGTGGTGCTCGAGACCCGCATTACCCCGACCACCAGGATGCTTGCGATGCTTTCCCACTCGCCCGTGACCATGGCTCACATGACCACGCAGCTTCCTTGTTTTTTTAGGCTTTGTATGAGACTAGAGCAAATCGAGACTAGTTATAAAATCGGAGAAACCCACCATAACCCTGGGTACCAAACACGAGGCAAGGGAGCGCGGCAAACTGTTCTTGGTGCACTTTCATCAGTTAAAACAACATTTGTGACCGTTCATCTGATTAATTAGACACCTTTGGAAGAATTTAACTATATACAATAGATCTTTCACGCAATTTTAGGAGGAATAACTAAAGTTGTTGACATGTCTTACTGGCAAATCTACCTTAATGTGGAATATCATAGAAAAATCCTGCTTACATTTTCTTTGCAGCTAGGTCTGTCCTTACCGTTCTAATCCCTGCTTGTGTATTGCCGTATTTTCCTATTCTCAGTGTTGCTGAAACTCACAGAAGTACTTATCAGTTCCCAAATTTGGTAAAAGTATGTTTCTATTAGTCTGATGTGAACCAGTTTGTTCGACTATAATTCGCAGCATTCGATGTTTCATTTCCTCTCTGGCTTATGTTATTTTACTCTGCTCAGTGTTGTATAGGACACTATTACTGCTTTGGGTTTGATTTTGCTGTCTGACTGAGGCGTTCCTGTCACTTGTGTTGACTCTTGCAGACAGATATTTGGGTACCTCTTTTCGGAATACATTCAGTTTGTTGTGGGCACGTAACCTTCATCACCAACTGAACCCTTTAGCCATACAAGTCGCTTTTTAATGCCAGGGAAGTTGTCCTTGAATCGATAGTGCCAAGGGGGCATTGCTGAGGTGCCTTCCTGTTATATATTGCTCGGTGATTAAATAGTGCCATAGGTGCGACATATGCATCCAATACCCAGTATCTTTTCACCACCTGGTTCAAACCAACTGAGTTCTTCGCACTCTCTTCGAGGTCTTGCGCAACGGTTCCATGTCTTTGGTGAATTCCGATGCAGTAGGTCTACCAGCTAGCGGGCAGTTGCGTCTTGGCTACATTTTTGGGTGCTGTGTGGTTTTTCAGGGACTGTGATGCAGACGGGTTTCTCAGGTGCCGTGCTACCAGACCGTTGGCCGAACTGGTTGCCGAAAGAAGATAGAAAAGGCTTCCAGAAAATCAAGGGAAAGGAGGTGCCAAGAAAAAGAAACAAAAAGACTGCAAGGCGAACGGAACGGAAGAAGAAACCCAGGCAGATTCGACGGAGATAAGTGAAAGGGAGGACTTCAGTAAGTAGTGTGAGACCACACAGTCAGAGGGAAGAGGAGAGGCAAGTAAGATTGCAGAATGGGTTACGGGGATAGAGATAGTAACACTTTTGAGGGGGATGTCTACAGTGAAGTATAAGGTTGAGTAAGGCTCACGGTGATAGCGACAGTACAAGAGATTCGGTATGGGGCCGGACTGGATATGCCGAGTCAGTGGGTTGCACCGGCCTAGTCCGTATCCTAACCGACGGTTGCAAGCCATGCACTGCTGTGTAGCTGCCAAATCTCTTCTTGAGGTTGTCACTAGACGGTGCAGTAGCAGTCTCAGTAGGCAAAGCTTTGCAGCTGCCGCTTCGTACATCATAGTTCTCTGTAGCTCAACATCATCAGCGTAAAGCAGGATCGGGGAGCTGAGATGCGACGGAAGGCCGTTCACAATAAAAGGGAATGGCACAGGGCCTAGAATCGCTCCTTGTGATACATAAGATGATGATGTCCTCTGAGCAGAGAAAACCCTGATGACTTTTACAAAGTCCTGCAGCCAGGAGAGTACTTGGCAGTCGATGCGCAGCCCCGGGGATTTTGAGAATAAGAATGGTGTGTGGGAAAGTGTCAAAGGCCCTTACAAAATCCAGGAGAATCACGTGATCAGGAACTTGGAGGTCCCAGTATGCCACCCAGCTATCGCGGGCAGCCAGGAGGTTTAGGGCGCAGGACCTACCCTTGCTGAAACCATGCTGAGCACGGTGCTCCCTTTTTGTCTAATTACTTCCTGACAAGGTCCCCTATCACGCTCTCCGATACTTTCGACGGCACCGGCAGAAGTGCTATGGGTCGATAGCATTTCGGGCCACGCCTGTCTCCTCCTTTGAAGACGGAAACAGAACAGCGCGTTTCCACTCTCACGGAAGCGTGTTTGTCTAGGGAGTGGTGAAACAGACTGCAGGGCGGGTCGCTTGTGGCACGTGCGCACTGTTTCAGCGCAGAACGCCGTATGTCGTCACATTGAGTTAGTTTCCATGCGCCGAGCTCCAAAGATTTTCCAAGGAGCATGGCAGGGATGACCAATGTCCGGGGGAGGTTCTCTCTATTCGAGCTTTTCATAATGCCAACTCCTCGACCGGTGAATTTTCTGTTTGCCATGAACCGATATAGGTTTCCGGGGCCCGCCTCTGGCTTCAGGGAAGGGTTCATCTGGAACGAGCTCCTTTGCCTCCTTAATTGGAGGCTGCACAGATTCCCTAGAGCCGTGTACGCGGTATGATCGCACTCCCTTCCGTAGATCCTCCAGCCACGCTATGCCTTCCTCCCTGCTTTTAGAAGCCGTTCAGTGCCTCGTTTTAGCCGTGAGACTTGCTTGCCCGGTATTGCTGTGATAACTGGGACGTTTTCAGAGACAATCCTCTCGATGATATCCCTCACCAGCTCCCAGTGGTGACCAATCGACAAGGCACTCCACTGCGGGGGGCTATGGTGCTGCTGACAGACGTCGGTTCATAGCCACGTACTTTGCTTTGCCGAAGCAAAGACGAGGGTGGGATCCTTCCCGTGACAGTTGTTCATTGAATACTAGATCAAACACCACCATACTGTGATAGTTGGTGAGAAGGAGGTTTCAGGTTGAACTTTTTTTGATGGCAGACGGTGGCTGATAAAGTATCCCAGCTTGAACGATTTTCTGCTCGACTCCAATGTTCTCACGCAGTCCAGCCTTTCTGATGGTGTTGAGTTAGTTTCCATCGAAACTCTGGTTCCCAGTAGAAAAGGATCAGACATGCTCTTCCACATAGTGGTTTCTGTGGGTATTATAGAGGCAAGACCCTTTAAAATGCATTGTCTATCAGTCGTAATATTCATCTAGACTATGAATCTCTGATTTGAAATGGCATTAACATGCGTGAATTATACAGTTCTGGAATCATCGAGGAACTTCAATAAGCACACAATTTGTGCATACATTCCTCCATAAACTTTTCATCATATCTCAAGTAAAAAGTACAAACTGTTACAATGGACGTATATTAACTTCAAGCTTCATTTTTCTCCAAGTAGTGTCTAAATGCAAACTTGGATTCTTTTATTAATGCGAGAACAATACTTCCGTCAAGGGTCCCAACTGTCTCCATTCTTATTCAATTTTATCGTAGATATTCTTATGGAGGTCTCCCTCTTGTCACCTGATTACACAGACGTTGACCTAATCGCAGGAGAATTTACACTAGAACTAGAATATGCAGATGACATAGTCCTGTTAGATGAAAACGCTGACAACATGCAGAGTCTTCTGAACACATTGAGTGGCAAGCTGAGAATGTTTGGGGTGCTTTTCTCACCATCCAAATGCAAATTGTTGATCCAGGATTGGTCTTTAACGGTGCCCCACCGTGGCTAACAATAGAGTGTAGTGATTGAGTGTGTCGATCACTTCACTTACCTGGGAAGTAGGATCAACCCTGGTAGCTGGCTCGGTGGCCGATGAAATCTCTGCGTGGATACAAAGGGCCCGACTGGCTTTCGCCAACTTATGCCACCTATGGCGCCGCCGTAATATCCGACTGGCTACTAAGGGTCGCGTGTACTGCACACCAGTTTGCTCTGTTCTACTCTCCACCTGTGAAACATGGTCATTGAACGTGGAAGACATGAGAAGGCTGGCTTCAGGTGTTTCGCCACCGTTGCCTCCGTAGTATAGGCCGTATTCCGTGTGTCACCGCGTAACACAGAAGTTAGGTGTAGAGTTTTACGGAGAAGGGGTTATTCAGTTGATGAGGTTGTGAACCTTCATCGACTGAGATGGTCGGGACACGTGTTACGTATGCCTAGTCGCCGATTGCCTCGTCACACAATGTTGGCTGAAGTAGGTCCAGGTTGGAAGAAGGCCCGTGTTCAGACCGAAGCATGGCACCAACGTATGAAGTCTTTCACTGTTGGTTTGAGCCATATGGGGCGATGCAGACTAGCCGGTTGGGTCCGCGGGACAAGAGGAACCAGTGACTGAAGACTCTGGGCAATATGGCGCAGATGCATGCATGCATTATCCTCATCTTAACGACGCTATACCGAATCTCACCATTTTCTCATCCTTCCTTTCTCTCGTTTCGTACCTCATATTTCTTTTGACTGAATTTTCTTATCCTCATCTTGCATCTCACCACCGTCTTACTTGATGTACTGATCTGAGGTGTGGCAACTCGGATCGTTACGCAGTAATGCCTGGCCTTGATACTGATGACGATACGCCGTGGGCAACCAGGGTTGCCGGTCTGAGCATGTAGGGCGCTTCCCGAGATATTTTTCTCGCTGACCATGGCCAGCCTTGCCCCAATGCTGGATGACCAGTGTGTGTGACAGCAGCAGTGGTCTTTCAAACTCCTTGGCCGAGGTCACCCTCATCGACGGGGGCGCTCCTTGAGGTGGGTTGCTGCCTTTGTAGAGCCAGCATATATCTGCTCCTAAGCTGCCCGGTCCTAGTATGAAGCATACCGTTTCCCATTGCTGGTTGTCGAAAGATTTTCTCTCCTCAAGGAGACTGTCACGACACACAGGTACGTTAAGGCAGTGGAACTCGATCTGTCACCGACATCCCTGTTGTCTTGTACTGTGTATGGGTTTTTGTGGGAAGGGTGCGCCTTCTTTTCCACTGTAACCCGTTATTACCGATGTACAGTAAAGGCAACCGCCAGACCAACTTCAGGGATTGGGGCTGATAATGGTTGGTTGCACGACCGGTCGTCTTTTGGGTAGTCTTGGACTATTCACATATGTGAATGTCCAAGGAACGATGCTGACACTCTTGTTTTCCAGACTCTCACTTGCGGTAGTGGTTTGTGCGGGCGCCGGCACTTCGGTATCCACTGGTGCCTCTTACCACCTATCCGAGTGGACTTCTAGAGAGGAGCGGCCCTGCATGACACTGTGGGCAGAACCACGTGTATGGGTGACGCACCATGAAGGTGTAATATTA